TGTACTCATTAGGAGTGAAAGCATACTCGTCCTTCACAGTAAGACGTGGGCCTATTGTGAATGTGCTACTGACCAGTGGTCAGGTACACAGGTAAGGTACAGCAGGGTGTTGTGTAGACATATCACTACCTACTTGACGTCCTACATTCACAGATGGACGTTGTAATCGATGAGTGATATTGTGACGGCCAGGGCTTCAGCAGTAGGACCAGCTGACACCACCTTGAAGTGTGACCACTGGTCATCTCCTCACATGTGTTACCACTTACCGTCCATGGAAGAAAACACAACTCTTAATTTGAAAAAAGACCAAATGTAATCTTTACAAAATTATTTTTACCAATTCTATTATCCAGTGTAAGCAATGTAACTCACAAAAATAGGACAGCTACGCGATAAATCGTAAATAACAGTGAAGAAGGAAGGGTTGTTTATTTCACGATAAATAACTAGTTCTATCATAACGTCATTACTGGTGATACGAATATGTGCTTACAACTTGATGATGTCGTTAACTGGGCGACGTTACTTAAGAGTCTGATGAGTTGTTCCCCATAGATGTAGCTGGGCAACGTAGATAAACGCAATGGCCGAACGATCGCATACCATCTATGACAATCGGTATTGGGAGAAAAGGTACTAATATATCGACGAGCAAATTGTGAGCAAATGCGGGAAGACTAAATTTAAAGGTATCACTTCAAACATTCAGTTACTTGTGACTTGTAAGATTCCAACAAATAAAGACAAAAGTATCTTGAATCTTGTTCTTTATCTTGGAAGTATCACAGGTAACTGATGTTTTGGGGGATTGTAGATGGAGCAAATTGGCAATCTAAACATTTTGTTTTTGTTTTCACAAGTTTTAGTGTCCAAATAAGGATTATTTTCATTCCCCGTTTTACAGCAATTTGAAAGGGAAAGAAAAGAGGTGTGAGTTTCATGTTATCCAGGCAGGCATTAAACGACATCAAGCTACCCGTCTGTTGGCCGTGGCTTGTTATGTCCACAGTGAGGAGATAGATCATCTGTAAAAAGGACATACATAATACTTTTCCGTTATCAATAAATATGATCATCAAGTTTGCCTTTGAGTTTAATATAATTGGCATTTTCCTTTCGATTTCTGTGGGGCGAGATTGGGAGATAACGTGAGCCAGTGAACTGTATTTCCACAAGATAAACCTTTATTCCCTTGACCTAGCAGCAGAGGATACCTTCAGGGAATGTGTGTTTCCCGGGGGAGTTACCGCCCCTGACCTCACAGCGTCACACTGGAGCAGAAATTCTACGATCTTTATCAGCATATGGTTAATGTGGGTGACTTTTAAACAAACGGAAACAAACAGGAAATAAATTATCAGCATAAGTATATGTGAAACAGATGAAATTAGTCTTTTTCTTACTGATTGAATATATTGTGATACGAACTGTGTGTATGGTATATTTTCTTGCTGATGATTTACCATTGCCTCATCGAGTTCATTATGAAATTCCTAATTCCTGTTATTCAACTTTTGACACATTTTCTACATTTCAGCATGGAATGCATTTTGACACACCGATGACATTTATCCTCTTACACCCCACGCTTCCCCTTCGCGGAAAGAACGTCTGTTAAACCTCGGTGCCATATTCGACGCTGATAACGCAGGAGTGATTTTTTTATCCAGGCTTACCTGAGATTAACCACTTAATCCTAATCTCTATCGCAATGTAGACACAACTAAATACAGTGGGTTAACGAGCCTTCTCTATGTTGGTTTGGTCAATAAGCCTGTGCATTTCAAGATTACAGGTGAAATACTGAAATTAATCAACCGACCTTGCTCACTGATCGGGAACCGTTTGAGCCATTGCTAAAAGATTAATTCCACCACCAGACAGAAACAGGATTTGCTGTTGTCGTCGTAATTCACCAGTCTACAAATAGATTGGTTTACTGATTGTAATCTCACACCAGACATTTCAAAATACAACTGTCTGTTTTCAATTAATTCTATTTGATTCAAACTCAGAGAAATCTGGTATAGATTATTATTGACTCGGTTACTGAGGTAACTAATTGATAATCCTGTACACTCTGACGCGACCAAGATTATTTCATAATCGTAGAAGTCTCAACAGCGACACTGATGCTGTCAATCACCCGACGAGGCAGCGGAACGATGATTATGTTAAAAGGGTGGAAAGCAAGAGTACCACACTGTTGATAATTACATCGAAGACAAATGTCATGTTGAGCACCGCCTTGTCCATGAACTCAGTTCGTATTCACAGAAAAAAGTCGGAAATACCATTTGTGATAATGGTTAATCCATATTTACACGTATGCCGGTAGAGCACGTTTGCACGACGTTTATCATGTGCAAAATGTTTGATTTGCAGGCATGACATGAACATGTCATGCTTCTCTGACGCAACTCCATGACTTGGCTTTGTGATAACAGTAACCGCATAGCAAGCTGTCACCCCACCTCACCATCTAGTCAGCACCTACACTGGGAAATACTATGCAATTATTCCATTAATCTACTTATGTGTGGGGAGCCCCAAATGAGGTTTAGTACAGCACTCTGTGGAAGCGAGATGTCCCAGTACAAAAAATATTAATTAAATAAAACCTTTAATGATTGGTGTTACTTGGCCGATAATGTGTCTTTTTGTTGACTCATAGGAAAGAGAGAACGTAGTTTATGAATATTTTAATAAGTAAATTTACAGAAAATATATTCCTTACAGGTAATATGTGGTTAATACCGTCGTGACATAATGCAGTCGACTAAACTAATAGTACTTACTCATGCAGTCAAAGCAATAGCGTATCTAATATAAAAATGTCACGACCAATTATATTTATTGCATCTGTTGCAAAATACCTTTCAAAAGGTGCATATGTCAAACACTGATGTGCAGCGAAACACATGTTGTACCCCACCCATCCCTACAAAGCCCCGACACGCGAGGATGATCACAAACACACACATGAAACTGTCAAGCTTGTAGAATTCAATGGCGGGACTCAGCTTCTGAAGCCTTGGGACGAATAACCCCAAAACCTATAATCAGCTTGATCTCACGTGATGACTAGAGCGCCAGGAATTCAATCATTCTAAAGATGTATTCATATATATATATAGCAACAAAATTACTCCTATTTTGATAGCATGGAGAACATCATTGTGAACTATTTTACTTTTTGTCATCATATTGAATAGGAAGACGAAGCACGTTCAAGACACTCTGTACAAAAATATACAGCTTCGAAATCCACAAAGTGAGTTAGATGACTCATAGCTCTCGAAGAACAGCTCCCGCTTCACTGCGTGTGGGTTTTGTCAGTTTAGTTAAAGAAGCGATGATACTTAATGTGTCCGTTTTGTAAATAAAATACACATGGTTTCGTCTTCTTTGTACACAGATTTGAAATAAAATGCTGCATCATTTTGTCGAATCATTTCGGAATCAATCTTGTCGGTGACATATATAGAGCATGAGAGTATGGAGAACGCAATATGTATGTGCTGAACGACTGCTTGTCATATCCGATCTCAACAATTTGTTAGTTTTGAAAAGTGATTGACATATTTTCATGAATTGTATCGACTGGACCTTTTGTTACCGTGGTAATATCAGTCAAGCTTCAAATTAATTGTATTCTTTAGTGTAGGAGAAAGCTAATAACTATGTATCCACCAATATACGACAACTGAAATTTACACAATGTCTTGTACATTTCATTGACAATTGTCACAATGGAACACGTGCTAGTTCCCGTTATCATTACTGACTGAAATAAGCACGAGTACCCAGTGACAGACACCTATTCGCCAAGCATTGTAGATTCTGATATGCATCGCAAAATATGTCGATTTCATCGGAAAAGAAATTGATACGTTTTGTCCTGTTCTATGCCAAGCATTAATACTACGTCTGGGATATAATGTGTATTTAGTCTGAACTCTGTCATGATCCACTGGCGATTCGCTTGCCGCATCTGAATATAGATGATAACAGTATGGAAAAAAACAACATTTCAAGTGCAGAAAAAGTCAAGATTGAAAGAATGCTCATGTTTTAATCTAAGTAATTATGAAAGCTTTTTTATTATTTATAACTTAATCAATATTCAGCCTGAATAGAATTCAGCCATAACAGATATTAATGACAGTTTTGTACTTGAGAATTGCAGCCTGAAATAAAGATGTATTGGCGCAACGAATCAATTATGCACCATAAATCAAAGCGAGGAAAATAATTGTCACGCTCAACGGCCTTCCTAACTATTACGAGTCGCCCTCAATACAGGGGCTGAAATATCATAAATACGTTTATCAACTTCTGTTTTGGATGATTAAGTAATTGTATTGGGGCATTCAAAAGAAAAAAAACACTTCCGCATTGTAGTTTCCCTGTATAGACTTTAAAGAGGAATATCGACTTGTCATGGACTACCGTCAAAATGTTGATGTTTTAATTGCATGAAATGATGTATACCGTTTTGAAACAAACAACTTACAAAAGCAAAGCCATGCTCTATAGTTCTCTAGTATCGTTGCGCGATGAAATGTTTATGGCGTAGGTGAGATCGCATATTGACGTCGCTCGATACAGGCATATTCAATACACCACATTACGCTCACACCATTTTGCAAGTCAATATGTCAATCACAGTTGATATTTGCAACCTGTTATAAATCAGACGCGATAATAGCAATTTTGACAAAATACTGTCACTTGCACAGACAAAAAGTAAGGTGACTGGTTGGATAAATGTGTATATATCCACAGTTCAATGTTTAGGAACTACACGTACATCCACACCACCTTGTACATCGCGTGTCTGTTTCATGCATACGTATCTAAAAGATAGGATATTCAGAATAACATCGTAAACAATGATAGAGTACCTTTAAGTTTGTATACACTTAAAGAGCACCATTTCCACGGGCAGTTATGTCAAGGGAAATATACAATATAGACTGTATGTATCTACTCACCATGTTGTACTAGGCAGGTCCGTTTCAGTCACGCCGATGACACACATGTATATTTCACTGTATAAACACGCTCACTGCGTACATCCGATCAGTAACCGTGAAACGTCAGTCCACGCCAAGGAAGGCCTGCAAAACACCACGGCCTGACTTGGTACGCCTAAACGACTCTTCAGAAGCCGGATTGCTGGTCGTGAACAGTTTTCACGCTCTACTGACCACATGAAGCCAAAGCATAAAATCCCAGTAACGACACTATGTCAGACAGCGAGAACGTGGTATGCCGGCCATAACATAGACAAAAGCTCAACACATGGTGCTATTCTATAGTGTTCGTCATATTCATGGAATGGCATAATTTTGTTCAATATAGTCGGGATAGGACACTGAATAGAAACTCCTTTGAATGAAATCGACAAGCCATAAAAAACGACGTATCCACCGTACGTATATAATGTTGGGTCGCCTGGAAATGAGGTGAGGGAGTGTTTTGGGGTGGAGCTCTCTGTGCGGTCACGGAAGTGTGTTTCTATTTTCCTATAACTGCCTAGCTAATCCCACTTCAACTCATTGTGTGACATCTTATTCACCACGGTGCGAGTGTAAAACACTGATTGATACAAAAGCCCTACACTGTTATGTTTGTCTGGAATTGAATATAACGCGTCTGTGTCAAAGTGGCCAAAATCAATCGTTTTTATTACACATAAGTTTACATATACATCTTATATTTACATTATGGAAATACATGTAGAGATAAGGAGTGGAGAGGCACGGGCAGTCAACGGTTACAGTCCAGCCTGTGAATGTGTGTGTGTATATATCTTGTTATTCCTACTATATTTCATTGGATTGGCATAGTTGACACCTGATTCTTTCATATTACTATAGTTAATCTCTCATGTCATGACAGATTAACTTTACCATTATGAATGAATCGGGTGATCCATAACTTCTTTTGAGTAGTATATATCCGCAATGGTAACAAAATATCTTTTCAAATACACATTTCTTTCATTCTTAAAATTATTACATTAAAACATGTAGTGGAATTCGTTACCGAATTGCTAATATATTTGGTTATGAGGAATATTTTCCCAGCGGTCAGTTTGAATTGATAAGTTATAGTTGGAAGTTGTATATACTTATAAGTGAAACCTTCAGAGGAAAATACCACGTTGTCATTCATAGACTGGTCCGACATTCGTAAATGATCAACATGTTTAAACCATGTAGGTGAAAGAGTATTTTGGGATTGCCAATTATTAAATAGGCCAAGGTTACCCAGAGCTACTTTGAAAGAAATGGAGCCATTTAAAGTGGCAGTCCTTGTGATTTTTTGTCACTGTTATTTGATATATTGCTGTTAAGGTAGAGGTACATTTTCCTGGTACTATAGCAGACCGGTAGCTCAGCATACCAGATTTAAATTGGTGTCAGGGATGTCCATATCTGTATAACCGTCACGTTGACATGTAGCACAATATTTCACGTCACACAGGAATCCCACTTTACTGTGGTTGAAACATATCCTGTACAACAGTTATGTCAGGTTTAGTAAGCGAAGCAAGAAAAGTATATGGAGTCATCTTTATCTGTTTGGGATGGTCAAATATGCTCTACAACACAGTGAGTGAGGTAACAGAGAGAGGCAGAATGGCCTTCACATATTGTATTGTATTTACTGTGTGTTTGGAAACTGAACCCGAGACCCGAGGGTACGACCCACACTAAACTGCCCCACCGCAATAATGTAATTGGAATTTTTCATTAAAATATTTGGCACAAAACACATGTCACTTGCTGTCAAGTCGCCAGTTAGCATCAAACAACTGGTCCCTCCCTGTATTCAGTGGCGGCAATACATAACTTTGTCCATTTTGTCCTCCCCAACACCCGTCACAACCCTACACACTGGTGGTCGTCAGGTCATAAGCGGACCCTACCGTTAGTCATAGCCATCAGCTGTCATAAACTCTTGAACACTCTACGGCCAATGTCAAGTGCATTTCTACAAATAATATTCTTACAATATTTACGAAAAACACACCAAGAGTGTTTAATACTACTTTAGTGTAAGCAGCACATGTCACTGGCTCGTTGACTGTCAGGTCGGCCAAGATGAAAGGGTCTCTCCACAAAGGTATCTGCCTTCAGGTATGTGGTCTCGCTTTACGGCGCTAAGCATAGAGAATGTGTTTTGTTTATGAATACTCCGTCAGACAAACGTTCTCGATATGTCTATAGTGTACAAATTGAGAGTTCAGACAGGTTTCATACCACGACACAGACACCCCACGACTCTAATCGATATATGATAAAGATATTGGAAATCAGTCATGTGACACTCTGATTCGGGATAATGAATCGGTTAACTGTGATTCGGTATATAACAGCACAGCTCCCATGGGGTCCCGAAGTCACCCGGCGTATGACTGAAGCAAGCAAACCATGAACGACCTTTGATGTGTTTGTTAAGTTAGAAAATCCCTGCACTTCCCTTTCACGTCTTGTATAACACTGGCGTCAATTACAATAACGAAACTCACATCCTAACGATCTTCTGCTGTTGAAATTGATCACAATTTGGTGATAATTCCGTTCGTCTGTGTGCCTAGTTTGCTGCCAAATGACCCAGAAATATATTTCAAAATGGTCAAAGATTATCAGGTCATGTGTAACAGGTCTGTGGTGTATCAACTGTCAATCAAAGAATCGTGAAAAACACGAACGATCGGCTACATGAAGTCCATATGATCAGGAGCAGAATCGACAACTTCAATCCTTTCATCTCCTAAAACCATGGTTAATGTGTGTTTTTTTGTCAATGTCATTGTCCAAGAAAATCTCTTAATCAATTCCAATCAAAGCATTGCAAGTTGATCAGATATGCGTGGTGTTGGTCTTCAAACATGCTACCATTACATCAATCATAAGACTCGGTGAATTTATTAGCCAGTGTTTGAGTGACAGCTAGCATGTATTGCTGTCAAGTCATCATCCATGTCATGTATATTTCCTATGTTCACCTGGCGGTAAATGAGACATGATTAATTACCCGACATGCTCGCAGACAATTGTCCCATACGAGCTGTTCATCACTGTTATCGCAATATTCGCATTAAGAACACAAAAGAAAAGGTCATGTTACAGACGGTATAAACTCAAACATGCTGTTCCTAATTCAGCTCTTCTCATCCGGGTATTTCTGAATTTTATATCATATCTGCGAAGGTGTACACCTGTGTTCCACCTCTGTTACGTTCTGCTGTTGGGGACGTGGGTCATGTGTTCGCTATGGCAGATCAGACCGGAGTCGACTCTCAACATGCCTACAAATGTGTAGTTATGAAGTCGACAGATCAGCTACTGTATGCGTGACAACAGGCAGGTTGAAACAGGACCACCCAACAACACATACTCAGTTAATTCAGAATCGGTTGCGGATGCTACTGAAATGGACAACAGAAATCTCCACCATTAGCTGCCAATCACGCCGAATCCTCTGGCTGTAGTACCTAGTAGAGGAACACCCCGACACGCAGTGACTACATCCACCCTTCTGGCTGATGCCCCCCAGAACCCGATACTGTTGAAGCTACAAGTAGCCAGTTACAACCCCTTGCTGAAACAATACCGACACCCGACTGTGATACAGGCTTAAATAGGCATCAGCAAGTGACATTAACATGAAATCGACAACTGAAACATGAACAGGCTCTAGTGTCAGAAACATGACTCCCAGGGCGGGCACCGTGGTAGGCCACTTCCCACGTCAACAACTGGGGCAAGAGTTAGTACTTATTTTGTATCGTATAGTTTTTTTTCGTAATAGTGAATTTTTGATTCTTGGATCTTAATCATTTTTTTTCACATCCATATCTGGCTACGGTGAACCTCCGTGGCAGTACCTCGACTGGGTGTTGTCGTGAGAAATATGAGACTCTTTTACAAATAAAACCTATTTTATTGCCACATCTGACTACAAAGTTTAGTCCAGCATGTTGCAAATTTGTAAACTAATCCAATTAGAGCTAGAGGTCAGAAGGGGACTGTGAGGTCCGGGTCGGTCATCCGACCAACTAGGGTCAGCTTTGCCTTGGGTAATTAGAAGGCCCGATGGTGGCATGAAATGAAAACCTTATAAAAATCCCATAACGTAGCCATACCACTCCACACACAAAAGTCGCCCCAGCACACGGGTCTTTATCACAGAGACAACGCTCTGTAGCAAGTTGACAAGCTCACACCTGAAATGAACAACAAAGTTGGGCGAAGTGTCCACCTGGCCCGAGAATAAAGACTGTATGTAATAAACCCCCGAGCCTGACCTATGTGAAACTGGCACTGACAGCCAAACACGTTCCGCTGTCCTTTATTGCACAGCAAACAACGGACGGACGAAACTGACTATTGTCTATTTCAGAACTGGATTCTCTGGGTAGATATAGATTTGCATTGTAAAGTTTCACGCGACACGACTGTCTACTTGCATATAAATCACCCCGCCATATAACACGTCTCTTATCTCACACGGAGGTGGTGTTGGGAAGAACGTCAGCTCAATCGGATATGTCTGAGGATTTAAAACCTGTTGTTTTTAAACTTGTTCTAAATCCAAATCCAAGAATGGTAGTTTTTCTTAAATACTCTAATGCTAATTATCTCCAAAAAGAATTGGAAACTCGCAAGATTGTCCCTCATCAAAGGATGTTCACTAAGTTATTCCAACAGTTGTTAGCAACAAATACCGTAAAATAATCTCTACCGAAATCCAGCGTCGACGAGGAAGATCCAGGGAATGTTTTTCAATTAGCATAAAGAAGCAAGATAAAAGATCAATATTCGTTAGATATAGATAATGGAGTGAACATAGAATTCTTTGGGTTCAAACGTAGCATTTTCAAAAAATATTCGAGCTTTGAAACAAGCATATGCACGATCCAAGTACTTGTGTTATAAGAAGCCAATTAAATCAACATCTGGTGTTTCTAAGTGTGTCGAGCACTCTGTTCTGTCTCTGGTGTGGTGTAAAAATCAGAGTTGAGAACGACGTAACCTCATTAAGTTAGAGGATGTACCACGGACGCACGTCACACGGGGAGCGTTATACAAACCTGCACACAAAGGCTACGCACGATAGAGTATATCTCCCATGTTCGCCTTTGACGTGTAGGAGATATTGACGGTAA